TCTGTCTGGTGCAGAGGAAGGAAAGCTCTGCCCTGACAACACAGCGCTCCCCCTCACCACTCCAGCACCACTTTTCATCGTTGTGAAAAGACAAGGGGACAAAGGCGTCTCCAATTTGTCGTCAGCATTTTTTGTAATGCAAAGTTAAGGTGTGGTAGCAGAGGAAACAAGGTCCTCGTTATCCAAACCAACTACATGAGCACCATAGGAAACAGAAGTCAGCCGCTTCCTCTCGTTCCTCCACCCCAGGTACGTATGGGACAGACACATGTACAAAGCTTATTTATTGTGCTTTGTCAGCAAAATTTTTTTCATTTCACACAGAGGAAATGACTTTTCAAAAGGTTAAAAAGCACTTTGTCCAAAAAAACCACATGAATTCAACTTACAATTTTATACCAGAAATTGTTAGCCCAATTACCAGTGTAACCGAATAGCTTAATTGCAGAGATGCTCCCGTACCTGGTTTCATGTCCAGCAGATACTAACACAACGTGTCACTGTTTTCTCCGGGGAGTATAGGGACAGTTTGCCTGCCTTCTCTTTTCCACTTTGCATCGAGCAGACTGACAGGCATATTAACCCTGACACTAAAGCATGCACTTAACCAGTTTTTAATTTATAAGAGTTAGTTGAATTATCAATTAGACTTGGATACAATGTTTCTCATGCTTAAAGCATAGGGGCTAATGAGGAATGACAGGGCTGTGGGATATACAGGTGAAAACTGGTATTCAAACCTCAGGGGAAGATACGTAACAGAACATGGTAGTGTTCACATCCCCAGGGAAATCAGGCCAGTGGTAACATATCTGAGCACAGGACCAATGTTCACAGAGAAAGTTATTAGCTTTGCCACCACTTAGTACCTTTATTTATATGAAAATTTCACTTTGTTTTACTGCTTTATAATTAAATCTAAGACAAGTGGCCTATAAAACCAGCACGTGGAGATCCCTGCCAAAAGCTTTATGTTGGAAGAGTATCAGGACACCCAGAAGTGTCAAGCTGTCCCATTGCGGGCATTGGGAGGGGCTCTGGGAAGACCCCCCAAAGCCCAGCTGGTAGCCCCAAGCACTATGTGCCAGATTTCCACAACAAAATACAGCTCTCACTTCTTTCTCCTGTAGGATATAGGTACCCTTGCATGAAGGTTTCTATGCTGAATTCTCACCTAGGATTTTTTTCCAAGCCCTAATAGCCCAAATAACTTGTATTGACTTAGATAACCTGTGCCAGCTCTTCCATCATCTATCTCTGCAAGTCTCCGGTTTTTCTAGGACAGGCTTTCAGATGCTCTCTGCTACGAACAAGACAGCATTCCCTGGCATACACCCCAAGCACTCACAGAGGAGAAATGCACATAACTGTACAACCCTCCTCTCCTCGCATGGGTTCAAAGGTTATTTCAGAGTGAAACGGGACACCCCGTCAGCACTCTGGCTCACAAACTCCTCCAGATGAATAGACTCTGGGCAAATAGAACATCCCTTCTTTTGGCAAATGAGACAGATGATGGCAAGCACCCTGGAGCAGCGACCAGCTTGGAGAAGCGCCTGAGCTTGGCTTGCTGGGCTGGGGCTGAAGTCCCTGCACCAGTAACTGGGTGCAACAAAAGACAGCAAGACTTTGAAAAGTGTTTCCCACACACCCATTTGCTAGAAATAACAAGGCAACTGACAAAAACTGGTTTGTTCTTGTTGGGTTTTTGTTGCATGGTGGTGGTTTTGGTTTTTGTGTGGGTTTTGGGTTTTTTTTGGTGGTTGTTTTGTTGTTGTTGTTGTTTTTTTTCTTTTTTACTTAAAGCTGCTAATGCCAGTAAAGGCTTTGTGCTGGCAGAGAGGATTTCAGGCTGCCCTGGCCAGCCAGCTCTGCACACGTGACCATCTCTGCACCTGCCGACTTCAAAAGACATTGGTGAGAGCCCTGCAATAGAAGCACGAAGATGGCAGTGGCTTCTCCATTTGGCGATTCAAGCTCAGGTCTCTTATGAGGCCAGCAAGCATTTTATATTTAACAAAAGAAAAACCAAAAAACCCCACAGTAACAAACTTAACAGTTCAGGGAAAAGAAGTCCTACTGGCTTCCCTTTCACCACAATAATGTACCGATGATTAAAGAGAGACCTACTAGCGGCGTCCAACTCACCCAAAAATAGCCAGTGACCCGCAAAATAACATGAACCCAAAATACGAATCAAAGTGAACTGAAGCCTCCAGGCTGACCAGCAGCACAAGTGTCTGTCACCTCACCCTTCCCTGCATGTCCCTTGCACATAGCTCAGTGACAAAGTTCTGACTTGTTTCCTGATTTGTTACACCGTGCACAGCCCAGGGAGTCAGAGGGGGCAAAAGTGTAAATTTAGTCAAAAGAGCCTTTATATACATCCCATGGTACTTCTCACACCTGGAATACGAGTGTGATGGAGTTACAGAAATACAAACATTCTTGATGAAACCAAGGTCAGAAAGGACTTTGTTAAGCATCTGTCCAGGTGCCAATATTAATAAGAACACAATGCAAAAACATGCTCTCATGTGGCTGCACTAACTACTAGATTTCTAGCAAAAATCTGAGAAGACAAATAGCGTCCCTTGCAGGTAGGAGAGTATTGTTATATCCATTTTACAAACAGCAGGGGCACAGAGGAGGAAGGCAATTTGCCCAAGATAATGCAGGACTTATGGTAATAATGGAACACAAAAATCTTGTGTCCAAGATTAGAGCCCAGTTCCATAGACACTACAATGCCCACCTCCTCTGAGAGCAACTCCATGGAGAGCTCTGCACTGCATAATTTTGCTCCTGTATTGCTCCTTTGAGCCTGAGGTGAACAAGTGTAACACAGCATGGCTCAGAGTACATCTCTGTATGCAGGGGTCATCCAGATGTCATCTCTAGATGTTCCCATAGGTTGAAGTGTTTAAAAAAAAAAAAGGAAAAAAAAAAAAAAAGAATATTCAATTCAAGCTCTTACAGGGCTCACCTATCGAAACAGGCCAGTGACATTTAATGCTGTGTGCTCAGTCCTGCACCCACCAGCCTCAGCCAGGATACCACCAGTGGTTTTAAGAACAAAGAGCCAAGACTTTGGCACAAAAAGCAATGTGTTACACAACCTAACAAGGAAGAGCTGCAGGGCATTCTTTCAGCCATCTCTAATACACCCCAAATCACCATTAGGAAATTCCTGACGTTAAAGTGTCAGTCACCTTGTTCATCCCTGGTTTCATTTTCCAAGGGTGACCCTCAGAGCTGTAAGCACAGAGCAACAGGTCACTGCATGTCCCCAGCTGCACCCTCCCCATAACTGTGACACATGGTGGGCACTCCTCACCCACCCCCCTGAGTGACAGAAGGACTAATCTCTTTTTTTTTACCTGTTTTCACATCCCCACTTTAGGACACAGGCATAAATCAGTGATGCTTTTCATAAAGACTAGACAGATTAGTCCACCAACATCCATCAGGTAAGTTTGGGCAGAGATACAGTCACACTTTTGTTTTGAAAAAATCTCTTTTCACTTTGAGCCAACCATTGAAGAATCACAGCTGAACAGGCTGAATACAGCTGTTGTCAGAGCTGGTCCTTACCGAGACTATTATTCCAGCCCTGGAGGGATGGGGTTTGCTTCCATAGGGATGCAGCAGGGAGCAAAGGCAGTCCAAGCTCCACACTCTTTACACAAACAGACTGCAAAGATAACACCCACACAGTACAGGTGTAGCTGCATTTTATTTATAGAGAAAGAAGGAAGCCAGGGCTGCATCCCACATTTCTTCAGCTCAGTAAAGGTGGGCAAATGTGGAGCAGTGATGCCTGTACTCCTGCATTCCCTAACTACACACGATCCACACTCCTCAAGTGATACACGTGTCACAAAGTATTTACATCCATCATCTGTACAAGATGCCAAGAAGCATTCAAGCACTTGGAAGCACTTCTATCACAGTAAAACTGTTCTCCCACTCCTGGACATACCTTATAGCTAAATAGCCACAGACCCCTTTGGGATTAAATAGGCACAGATATCCTTTTCGCATGACTTTCCTGTGGAAGTTACATCCTGATGGTTCTGAAGAGCTGTTTGCTATGAGCTGTGCCATTCTCTGTATTGCAACACATCAGGGAGGGGGGAGAAGCAGCTTTGAAATGTTCAACATAATCTAGGAAACACACACACACACACACACACCCCAACACTGTGACCAGGCACACATCACAAGTTTACACGTGAGACAAAAATAAACACAGACACACAAAAATAAATAACTGCCAGCAAAAACAGGCTCCAAAAAGAGTGGCACCACCCTAACTGCAACTGGATCCCACAGTAACTGCAAGTACAGTGCTGTATTTTCTGTCTGCAGGGAGGGGAGACTCCCAGTTGCTGTTTCAGGACCCACTGCAGCCTTCCCCTCCCAGCAGCGATCCCTTTGCAATGCAAAGTACTATCGCATTACAATCTGTCACTACTCTGTGACACAAACACAAAGCAGCAAAAAAGCTACAGCCAGTCTCTCCCATGGCAGCATCATGCCCCGAGTGCCCGATGGCAGCACAGGCTGAGCTCTGCCTCCACATCCCAAGCGCAGGGACGGTGACAGCAGCAAAAGGGGCTCCGGGGGGGGCTGCGATACAGGGGACAGTTGGCTGCCAAAACACCTTTTTAGATCAACTGGCTGATAAGCCGCATTTAAAATAGAAAACATCTCCCCCAAACCCTGACTTCAAGGGATTCGCACAGCTGTTTGAAAGCAATACTGGACACCATCTCAGACCCGGCGGTACCTTCGCGGCGGGGCTGTGGGAGCTGGGCTCTGCCTCGATGCTCTTCCCCTCATCCCGTCCCAGCGCCTCACCTGGGGTGTGCGCACTGAGGAATCGCACAGGCGAGCAAACACGTGTCCGGCAGGTAGCACGATGCTTTTTTTATGCTTTTTTTTTTTTTTTTTTTTTTTTTTTTAACAAAACCCGTGGCGATCGGGGGGATGTTTACCTGGTAGACGTCCCGAAGGCCGCACCAGGCGCGCAGGGCTTGCCGGCATGCCCTCAGCCGGGCCGCGTACCACCGCCTCAGCGCTGCCACCGTCACCGTCCAGACGACGCGGCTGCCGCTGAAGAGCAGATCTTCCACCCCGCACATGAACACCGAAGCCATGAGCTGCTCCAACGGCAAAACGGACCCCGCGTCCCGGCTGGCTCCCGCTGGCTCTCGCTCCCTGGTTCAAACGCCCGGCTGTACGGGGCGGGCGGCGGGCAGGGGCGCCGAGCAGAGCCAGGGCCAAGCCTTCACACAAACTCCTCTTTGACGGCGCTTCCTGGGCAGGCTCCCAGGCATGCCCGGCCGGCGGCGCCTGACGCCGAGCCAGCGCCTGCAGTAGCTCAGCCCTACCAGCAGCTCACACAGCAGCCTCGTCCTTCTTAGCAGCTTATATAAATCTGTTAAGCTCCGGTAGCTACCACTGTTTCCTAATTAAATTTTAACCCTTTTGCCATACTGCCCAACAGCCACCCCCCTTAGAGGCTGCGGGGAACCGCTCGCCAGAGTTAATCGCCACCACGCTCCAGGGATGCGGGCCGGGGCTGCACACAGATCCCGCCTAACCCACGGCACCCACTCTCCCGCCATCTCGTCCGCCACACGGGGAACAAGCCTGTCATCGTTTTCTCCTGGCTGATCCCGTGCTCAAATTATACACTAGAAACCCTATTTTTTTTTAAAAAAAAAAAAAAAAAAAAGCACCTCTGGGAGCCAGCAACTGGAGGAAAACAAAAAGGATCAGAATACTCCTGCAGAAATAGATGCACTAACTCCTCTCACAGCTCGGCTCACAGCACAGAGCCATCTCTCTGCTCCACACCTCCCCGCCTTAGTTGTTGCACTGGACCAATTAAATGCTCAACACCTGCTAAAGGATGATTTTGCTCTACTCTTCGACTAGCTCCATTAACGCAGCGCTTGCTACACGAGAAAAACAAAACTGCTTATGCTAACTGAACTCTTTCACAAACAGCCCACAGCAAATAAACACTGAAATAATAGCCCACAAGAGACTCCAGCCTTGCCCCAACAGTCAGTTGAAAATTAAGCAGCACCCTGCCCTTCTGGGGCTTAAATTGTTAATGCCGCCAAGCCGCACCTTTCATTTGTGAGCTCTCTCCTATGAAAAGCTAAAGAGAGGGTCTGGAAGTCAGAGGGCAGTTAATCTCTTTAAGACCCCCTCAGAGGATTTGACATTTCTTAAGCTTTTTAGGACAGAAGCTGCAGGGAGCCCCACATGCCACGATCAGCACCTTGCTGAAGAAACTACTTAGAGCAGATTTTTGGCTAAAACCCTCAGGAAGACTGACCTGTAAAAGTAATCTCTCTTGTACAATGACATGAATGAAAAGGGAGCAGGAACAGCTTGTCTAAACGCTGCATGGAAGAGCTAAGTCCCATGGCATTGCTGGTACTGCTTCCCCAAGGGACACTGCCTGCAAACAGCCTCTACACCAGCTGCAGCAGCCCCGTCCCAAACGCTTCTCAGGGCAAGACATCCTGCACACTCACGGGACAGCGCAAGTATTCACAAAACCTACTCCATTCCCTATTTAATCAACATAATTCATATTGCAAGAGCCTATCCTCATGCACAGTGAGCTCCCGTGTTGTAGTTGGGGTGATGTAATGCTGTAGACAGGTAGACAGGCTTTGTACCCATGTGTCTCCAAGCTCCACACTTGTTCCTTTTACACATGATGAAGAAAAAGCAGTTCTGCTCCTCTTAGTGCTGATATCTATTGGCTATGCTGCTGCCAAGGAGTTTAAATCTCTCCAAGCCTTGCTTTCGCACATGGAAAAACAACAATTATTTTTCAAATATTGTTAGAAGCTGTTACAAAGCAAGCCAGTGCAGAGAGAGATACGGCTTGTTATAACAAGAGGCAAGACTCGGGCTCTGCATTGAAATCTAGCAATCATATACCCACACCAAGAGTTTTACTGCCACTCTGAATGCTGTTTTAGAGCCTGGGGTCACAAAGAATGCTTTCTCCTCCTCCTCCAATGTTGCCCATCATCACTGTTCAGTGTTCAGATGACTTGAACATCAACACAAATGTACAAAATGGAAAAAGTTTCCATCTTCCACCAGGACAGGGTGGTGACAGATATCTACAGAGAGTTATTCCAATAACCAGCACCAGGCTCAGCAGCGGGTAATTGCCATTCCCGCAGACAACTGCTTTGGAGAGCCACAGCCAGGAAAATCTCCAATGGCATCTGTACACTATGGTCAAGTCATACCCTAATTTAAACACAGAGATAAAAAAAGAAAATCCAATTTTCGAGTTCCATTTCTAAAAGAAAAGGAGCTTTGTAGTTAAAGAACAGTGGTGTCCTGCGCCAGGAAAATCCAGCCAACCCCACTACGTAAAGTTTAAATGCTTCTGTTCTGTGCCTTTTTGTTTTCCCACCTAACGAGATTGAAAAATGAAGAATGTCAAGGGTTTTTTTCCTTTAACACAGGACAAGGGATTTGTGTTGGTCTTTTTCTTAATTAGTCTATGATTCATGGTATCTTTAAATTTAATTTACATGGTTTGCACAGTTACTCTTTATGCTTCACAAGTTACTGTGTACCTGAGCAATGGCCTCAGATGGTTCTGCCTCAGAAGGCAGAGCCGTATGTACTCAGGCCCTCCCTCCTCAGCACTCCCAGCTGCTTTATCCATCAATATTTCCATTACCTTGTGCAAGCTTCATACTCTTACAGTAAAGTTTAGCTCCATGTGTAGACTAGAGCAAGGCAAGAACCTTTTCCTCACCCTTACTTAGGATACATGGACTTTGAGACCAGTCTCATGAATAAAAGTTTCATACACAACTTGTCATCCCTTCCGCAGATGAAATAGGGGATAATAGATTTAAGAAGCAAGTCCCATCGGGACTTTACCTTCCCCGTTCCCAAGTACATGACACAGTAATCACACCGTGGTACACTGTCCCTTGAACCTGGGGCACAGTGTTGAACACCCATAAACCAAACCAAAGAAAGTTTATGATGCAAAGAACAGCTAAATGCAATTTAGAATAATTTTGGTGTTTTGATATGCAGCTGGTGAATTACCCATTCAAACCAATCTTAGGCTTATTGACTTCCACTTTTGGAACCTGATTGCAAGTGGGTTGAAATACCTAAATAACATCCAGACACCTTAGAGTTAGAACAGAGATGACAAAATGCTGCAAAGAAACACCTGTGGAATACCCAGATGGTTTCCAAAGGCTGTAGTATCCAGATCTCTATTCTATAAGGGGAGCAGGGAAGAAAGATATCTCAGGAAAGGTCTTTGTAGACCTATGTAGCACTTTCAAGGAAACACAAGTGACAGCTACTGCAAATCTATTTGATGTACAGTCATACGAACAACAAGGCATTCATTCCTTGTAAGGAATAAGCCTACACAACAGGAATCTAAGGAGAACATAACTTAAAAAGACAAGAGAAAACTTGATGTATGGCAGATCCATACTTTCCCTTATATTATTGATTGTAGTTCCAGAATAATGAGTATTAGAAAAAGAACAAAGGCTTGCTACTAGCATAATAGGAAAAGATGATCCCAAGTGGATTCTCACGCTTCATCGCATGTTATCTTCTCTTGCAAAGTGAATGGAACAAGGCTTAGCTGAATTGCTGCTTTCTTTGCAAAGTAGCTCATATGAAGAATAGAGAATTCATCTACCTGTGAGACCACAGGACAAGATCATCAATCTTCCCTTACATCTACAAAGCACTATTGCCCTTAGATACAACTTTTGATTAGACATAGGAAAAAGGACAAAGTCCCTAGTGGCACATAATGAAATTAAAGTTTTGATCATTTTTGGTCTTTGAACCTTAAATGCACAAAATGCCTAATTATACAGGCTAGCAGATGTCTGTCCTAACCAGAGCTTTAAAACACATTTTAATCCGCAATTTAACCTCATATATCGACTACATGATTGCAACCAATATTCATAATATGAAAAGCAAGCAGCCAAGTCCAGCAGATACCACAAAGCCAGAGGCAGCCCTCACAAGGTTATGAGAAACAGTTCTGTATCATGGCATGCATCAACAGTTTGAAATTTGCTGTTACCTCAACTCCAACAATTCAAACCCTCCAGCCCTGATACCCTGTGATGGTCTCAGGGCAATGATAAGTATTGTTGAGGTCCACACTAGGACCCAAAGGGCTGTGGTACCACACTGCCCACTGCATTCCCACCAGAAACCAGCTGCAGTGCCAACTCATCCTGCTACACCCCGACGTGTTTCCCCACACAAATCTGTGTGTAGATTTTCAAAATTTGTACTATTTCACTCCAGTGACAAGCCAACAGCACATAATTACACTGCTTTTAAAAATACATTTTAAAAAATGCCCAAAGGTGCTGATTTATAGGAGTTTTAAGAGAATGAACAACAGGATTACTTGGGAATTAGGACTTTTTCAGATAATGCTGAAGCTGCACAATCCCCTTACACTTTTTTTTTTTTTTTTTAAATTCCTGTCATGGAACAAGCCTGTCAAGCTGTGAGCATTAATGCAATTAACCCCAAATAAAAATGAAGTGACTTTTCAAAAATCGTTTTTGTTACACTCTGGCCCTTAATTACCAACTTGATAAAGTGAAATACAGTCATTGGGCACCCTCTCTTTGATACTGTAACTTAAGATGCTTAAAAAGCAGCACCGGTGCATAGGATAAGTCTGTAATCCAACCTGCCCTGATCAAGAGCTTTTGAAGCAAGATTCAACTTCCAGTAAAAGGTGTCTGCAAGCCAATTTGGTTCTTTGAGATTACTTGGAGGGGAAGTAAAACCACCATAAGTTATTCCTAACTAACCTACTTTAGTCCTTTAATATTAGCACAAATCTGGAGGACCTCTCAGAAATAAGTCTACACTTCCACAAAGATTTATCTACTGCCATTCACATTATCAAACCTTAATTTAGGAAGCAAATTAAATCTGCATGAAAGGGCTATGCCATTCTCCTTTAAGGCTAATAAGAGCATCCATTGTAGGTATTTGGACCCTTCCTCAGGTGCTACACCAGGGATTTCAATTCCCACCTTTTGCCCACTGAACTGCACCTAAGTCAAGTGACTGATGTAGCTGAAAAGCCACAACTACACCCAAAACGATCCATAGCTTCAGAGGGAGGCTTTAGTACCTACTGCTTTCTTCTCTGGATGAGGCACAGCCTCTAATAAGCTTATTTAACAGCAGCCTTACATACTTCCAAACGAGGTGCTGACTTTTTTTCCTCCTTTCAGGGAGCCTGGGCTATACATATTGCTCTGTGCTTATGATACAAACATAACACCATGACAAATAAACACATTTTTAAAGATGAACAGCCACTGTGCCAGCAAT